GGGACTTCACATAGTTTCTTTTTTTTTTTTTTAAATGAAAACAACATTGTCCTGAAAAAAAAAAGATTAACCATTTAATCTAATAGGCATAGCAAAAAAGCACAAACGTATTATACCATAACGCACTAAAAAAAGAGGGAGCATTGGGAATGCCTAAACCTCCCTCCTATCTGCGTGCCCAATGCTCCCCATAACCTCACTTTTCAAATAGATTTAAATAAGTTTATTTTTATCAAAAGTTGAATCCTAATTGATTAATTGAATAAGACCAAAGAGGATCGGTAACCCTTTTTTTAACCCATTCTAGCTCACCTGGAGCATACAAGTAACGAACTTTAACACTAGAAGAAATTAAAATTTCTTTCCTTTCAGCAAAAATGTTTTTTTTTATTTTGATAGTATCTACTGGTATTTTCACTAATAAGCGGATAGTTTGGCTAATAACTAATTTATGATAACCGGTAAACATTTTACCCATGCAACTGATCTTTCAGTCATTAGCCACTCTTGAGCGTACTGGCGACCATAATGTTTTTCAGCAAGTGTTCGATATTTACGTTCAGTGATAGACTGTTCTCAATGATTTCCCGCTGCCACTCGCTTGACGTGAACTTTATTTTTTTTCGAGTAGTTTTGTAGTGACCAATTGGATGAGATTGAGCCAGATGACAGCGTTAGGCTTATATACTTTTTCAAGAGCTTCTGAAAAATTAGCGGCTGTTTTTTTTTTTCATCTATCTACATAGATATCCTTATTTATACTTAGCTGTCCAATCGATAATAACAGCGTGAACACAATCATTAAACAAGGACCAATGCTAATAATATTATTTTGTCATCTAAGAGTTTTACCATTTTATTATTAATGCAACAAACAATATGTATATCAAAATGGCTTAAGCAGGAATAAATTTGCAAACGCGTTCCTTTAATCTAGTCGAAGCTGAGTTTGACAAAAAAAAATGGTCTTAAGCAAGGATTTGATCAAGTTCATCAAGCATGTCGATCAGCAGTTATCATCTACCTTGGAATGATCCATGCAGCTCTTGTTGCTGTAGGACAGCTTGGCAGTCGAACTAATCTTTCTGATTCAATTGTCCTATATAGGAATGCATTAGATGTGAACACTAATCCTGTTTTGATATCTCCCTGAACCTTAGCCTAACTATGTTGTTCCTGAGCTTATCGCATTAGTAGGAAGTTATAATCTTGTTGTTTTAAGCCTAAGAATTTGTTTTATGAGTTATATAATTGAAAAGAATTTGCTGCAAAATGATAATATACAAGCGAAAATTTTAAGTTTTGTTTCCAAATGCAATTTTAAAAAATCTAACAATAGTTTGTCACCTACTTCGGAATTAATTTATCAAGCCATAAAAAAAGTAGTAAAAATCAAATAGAACGAGTCCTCTTTAAAGAAAAGTTGGTCAGAAAATATATTTTTTCTGGACAAAATAAAAACTTAAAACGAAAATCTGTGGTATGTTTTTTTTAACTTAAAATAAAATTTATTATAATTTATACAATTTATTTCTATTCAATTGTTATTATATTAATTAAATTATTGTTGGACTGATGTTATGATATAAAGTGAACGTCCTTCAGTTTTGTTCAAAGATGCGTCTGTGCGAACGAAAGATCGTAAAGTTTCCAAACTTTTGGATAGATATAATTCGAAAGAACTTTCATATGTGGCAGGTAAAAGTTTGAAAAAACTTTTATAAAAGAACAATTTGTTAAAAAAAATGCATCAAAGAAATATCAACCGGATCACTTACCTCAGAACAGTTCTTAGCGTTAGTCTTAGATACTAATTTATCCAAAGAATCTTATCAGCATATAAGCATCAATTTTTCATACTTTAATCACTGTTCAGCTTATAGTGTTGTGTAAAATAGACCTGTGCTTAAAGATTGTACTAAACTTATAAGCAACAGTCGAGCGAACTTAATACAGACGAATCGCTTTTCGTAACTTGCTTTATTCCTCTAGAACATAATTATGTGAATTAATAGTGACATAGTTATGGGAATTAACAAAATTATAACATGACATAAATTGTGACATAATTATGGGAATTAATAGTGGCATAATTATCGAGTTTTTTGATCATCTGAAAAATATTATTTTTAAAGTTTATAAAACATTTGTCCGATAAGGAGTTTTTCATAATCAAATAAAAAAATGCAAAAATTATTCCGATTTTGTAAGAAGGAGATATCTTTATTCCGCATATCTATCCTTTCTACTTTTTCAAAAACCTTCTAGCTTATTATCTATAATAAGGTATACAATTATATTGTTTCCAATCACCTTTTATATATTAAACAAATTGGTTTTAAAAAAGAATAATTCCACTGAACATGCAATCATACAATTTATACGAGAAATCTCAAATTTCTTTTAAAGATCCCAATTTACATTAGATATTTTTATTGACTTGTCGAAGGCATTTGATACTGTCGACCATTAAATACTGCTCGAAAAATCAAAATATTACCGATTATAATATATAACTACAAAATGGTTTCAAAGTTACTTATTAAACCGAAAACAACTTGTTTTAATTAATAACTATTACCAAATTCTAAATATTTTCTGTGGTATTTTTCAAGGTTCTTTTTTGGAGCCACTTTTCTTTTTAATCTATATAGAAAGACTTAAAAAATAACTTGTTTGCCGACGACAACAGCTTTTTATTGACTATAGTCAATAATAGGCTGCTGTCGTCGGCAAACATGAATTTTATTGATGTCATTATTATAATAATGACATTTCCAAAGTTTTTTCTACAATGAATGGTAAACTTTAAAACATATCTACTTCCAAAGCAACAACTTAACTCTTAACAATAATAAAACCAAATGGATTCTATTTTTATTCGCTTTCTAAAAAACGTTAAACACGCCAAAATTTGCCCAAAATATTTATTGATGAAGTCGAAATACAAAAAGATTTTGTTACTAAATTTTAAGGAGTAGTTCACGACAACAACATTACATGGAAACTGCATATTTATTATATTTGCTCAAAAATATCTAAAAGTAACGAAGTCTTATGTAAATCCAGATCATACTTAATCAAAAAAAGTCTTAACCAAACTTTTTTAGTCATTTATTTACACCTATATAAATTATGCCAACATAACTTGGGTAATCATCGAACAAAGTAAGTTAGAATGCCTTTATCGCCGTCAAAAGCATGCAATCCGATTAACTAATTTTGCGGATCGTTTTATTCATTCCAAACCATTATTTATTGAGATAAAAAATTAATATATTTAGCTCAAGCTCAATGTTTATCAAATATTATGGTTTATTTTTATGTGTAAAAACGATTTAACTTTACTTATCTTTTAAAGACCATTTTTCTCTTAACCCAATTAATAAATGTTTACTTAGAAATAAAAATTTTGTATATGAACCAATTTACAGAACAAAACTTAACAAATTTTGCATTACATTTTGATCACCATATCTTTTGAATGAAGTTGATATACCTAGTTTTAATATATATCCGATACTTTCCTGATCTTTAAGAGAAAACTTGAACATTTTATTTTATCTATTGATAATATATTTAAATACCTTTTATAACAACCTTAAAGTCTTACTTTGTATATGTATATATATAAATTTGGGTTTTTATAAATTCTGACGATAAGATCTAACTTTTTTATCTCATATAATATTACAATTTATTGTAATATTTTAGTCTAGTTTATGTATTGATGTAAAAAACTTGTAAAAAGTTGTAATGGTAAAATCAATTTGATTTTCTTTTAGAAGCATTATTTGTTTGTTTTTGTAAACAATACAAAAGATGTTAAAAAAAACAACAAAGTACATTCCCCAAGTCAGTTTTTTTTTCAATGACGTAATAAATCCCAATTTTTTAAACTTGTTTTCATAAAAGTTATGATAAATGTTACGTAACGTAAAACGGTATTTTATTTTTCTAATGCGTTCATGTTCTAGTTAATACCTTACATGTTCTACATGTTTTAGTCAATACCTTAGAAAATAATCATAAATTTTAATTTTTCCAAGGTATTCTAAGCGTAAAGTTCTCTAGCAAACAAACGTGTACTTAACGTGTATTAAAGTACATTTAACGTTTAAAAAACTACGTGCTTCTCAATAGTAGAACTTTGTATTTGAAGTAGAATTTTGGATTGAGAAGTCTAAGATAGTTTTCTTAATTCACTGTTTTTTTATTTAATTCATTGTTTGCTTGCGTTAATGAAGAAAAGTTTACGCGCGCGTCGTACAACTATTTGACGCACGCATAATTTTAATTTTATAAAGAAAACTACCTTATTTTTGCTGACCTAATAAAAGGTTAATTAAATGCAAAGATAAAAACAATGGAAGATAAACCAAATTTAAAACCAAAAGAGACAAAATGACATCAAATCATTAAAATCAAGAGACCAATGAACCAATAACGGATGAGCAGCAAACACTAATTGGAACTTAATTTACATTTTTATTTATACAAAACTTCCTCATAATAAAAGACTAGTATTTATTATGATTATGTTTTTACACTGTAATAAAAACAGTTGACAATACGGGTTTTAAAGTGAAGGAGCACAACGTCCATTTCTAAAACAAGGTCCGCTATCTTAAATTAAAAAAATCAAATGAATAAACAAGCCTTTTTTAAAAAAAAGGTAGGGATAAGGGCTCGTCAATTACTGGACCTGGTGGCGTTAACCATAAAAAATTCTAAATCAAATTAAAAAAAATTAAAGTCATATCTTTTCAAATTTATCGATCAGACTCTTTAAAAATTATCAAATTTGATAACCGTCATAGCTATTTTTGAAACTGTTTTCATATATGATGGTGCTTAACATACAACAGTTTTGACTATTGACCTTTCATTTTGATTGTTTCATGTTTTTACAATTTTGATTTATGTTTCACAATTACTTTACAATTAGATTTTATCATTGTTTGTTTAAACTTTTTCAGTTTAAAAAAAAAATTCCGAAAATAAAAGACGGATGCAGTCATTTTTAAATAAATAAAAATGTGCTAACGTTCAACAGTAATATTTCACACTTTGATTAATCAGATCGCTAAATCACTTTAATCATTTAGAACTTAGAAATTCAACTAGATTGTAAATATTCAAATATCTATTTATAAATTTTTTAAAAACTTATTCAAATTTTTGGAATTTAATTTTAAGTGGGCTGGTTTTGACGCAAGATCAAAAATGAAATCAGGTCTTTTATTTTAGTTCAGTTTTATTTTATTGTGTGTGTGTGTGTGTGTGTGTGTGTGTGTGTGTGTGTGTGTGTGTGTGTGTGGGTGGGTGTGTGGGTGTAGGTGTGTGGGTGTAGGTGTGTGGGTGTATGTGTGTGTTTGTGTGTATATATTTTTTGAAGAATTAGCTAAACCATATTTAAAATTATAACGACCGTCATTGTGTTGTTCTAAATAACGAGAAGGTTTACAGAATCATAGAATCATAAGAATACTATTACAAATATATAGTTATAAAAAACAAAATATTTTAAATGTTTACTCTCGTTTAGCTAACGTAATTAAGATATGTTATAATTATGTTTGGTCTGAATTTTTATTTCAAGATTTAGTATATAAGTTAGCTATTTTATTTTCAAGTTTTCTACACATAAATAAAAAAGATTACTATGTTTCAATGTAATGAGAATTTTATTAAAAGTTTAAAAATAATGAACTGACCCTTAAGTTGTACTAAAAAGTTAAAATTTTGAAAATTGAAATAAAAATTTACATTCTATATCTTAAATTTGTATTGTTTTGCTAAGATTTTAAGGCATATTTTTTAAAAGATTATTGGAGTTCTGAAAATAATTGCTTTGTAAATTTTAGTAAGTAAATATGTATAAACAGTATTGTTTTAATGGTACTATAGAATAATGCAAACATTGATGACATCCCAATATACATTAGGTTAGCAAAGTAAAAAGATAAAGAGCTATATTCAACATAAAGCGATTTTAATTTGTTCTTTTGAACTCATCAGTATTAAATATATATATATATATATATATATATATATATATATATATATATATATATATATATATATATATATATATATATATATATATATATATATATATATATATACATATATATATATATATATATATATATATATATATATATATATATATATATATATATATATACAAACAGTATAACAATTAGTTCAAAAGAACAAATTAAAAGCGATTTTAATTTGTTCTTTTGAACTCATCAGTATTAAATATATATATATATATATATATATATATATATATATATATATATATATATATATATATATATATATATATATATATACAAACAGTATAACAAAGGTAAGCAATTTGTTGTCATACTGAAATAGCCTACTGTCGGGGGCTTTAGTACATACATCGACTAACAAATAGCCTGACTCACAGTGAAATGCTGCTACATAGCCTAAAGTTTTTGGGATTGAGCAGCACCCTATTCATAAATTATTTTTTGTCTTCTTTTTTTTCTAAAAAAGCCGTATGGATGAAGATAAGCAAAAAAAGTGAGCAAATGCTTATAAAAATACGCTATAGTAAGTGTATACACACACACACACACACACACACACACACACACATATTTATATATGTATATATATATATGTATATATACATATATATATATATATATATATATATATATATATATATATATATATATATATATATATATATATATATATATATATATATATATATATATATATATATATATATAGTATATGTGTCGAGGGCAAAAGCTGATTGTAACTAATAGTTAGCCACATTCGGCTATACATCTGCAGTCACTTGACCTACTAACCTATGCCATTGGTAACCAACAAGCAATTATTTGGCTTAACCATCGATCGATCAATTGAATGATGGCATTGGTTGATTAATCTGTATCTGCCAATGCATTAACATCGGCTGATAAGCCAAACCAAACTAGTGCATAGCTGCACCCTTATATGCAAAGTGCATAACTTGTATTATTATATTACCTTTATATACATACATTAAACCCAATCATTAGCCTCAAATGACCTTTGCCATTGGTACAAAACTAATATGATCTTTTTTTTTTTGCAATAAGAAAAAAAGCAAAGTTAATAAAACATTAATGAAATATCTTTTTCTACCTCTATATTTATATATATATATATATATATATATATATATATATATATATATATATATATATATATACATATATATATATATATATATATATATATATATATATATATATATATATATATATATATATATATATATATATATATATATATATATATATATATATATATATATTTATAGTGGAGTTCCTCAGGGCAGCGTGTTAGGCCCAACATTAATTTTACTATATATCAATGATATAACCGCTATAGTCAACTATCTTGATTGCTCTTTAAAACTTTATGCCGATGACATCAAGTTATACAGTTCATTTTGCAATAAGGACCATAGCCATTATTTAGCTATTGCTCTTAATAATGTAGTACTTTGGTCAGAAATATGGCAACTACCTATTTCTACCAGTAAGTGTTTTGTTCATAGGATTGCGCCTGCTTCATCGAAAAAATTTGTTAACTTTAACTATAAGTTACGAGATCATATTTTAGCTTGGTCTTCTATTCCGAAAGATCTCGGTGTAACTCTAGACTATCAACTAAACTATAAAAAGCATATCTTAAACATTGTACATGCAGTTAATACTAGAGCATATCTTATTTTAAAATGCTTCAAGTCTCGCAATTCTAGAATCTTAGTAAATGCCTTCAATACATATATTAGGCCTATAGTAGAATATTGCTCCCCAGTTTGGTCACCATATTATGTTGAACTAATAAAGGTTAACTTACGATAACCGACTTCAGTTGCTTGATTTGGAGTTGCTTGAGTTAAGGCGAGTAAAGCATGATTTATTGATTTGCTACAAAATTCTGCATAACTTATAAATCTATGTTCTTTCTTTTTGACAACAAAAACAACATTCGGGGACATAAGTATAAATTGCACAAACAACATTGTTGACTAGATATTCGCAAATTTAGTTTCTTTTACCGAGTTGTCAATATTTGGAATCAGTTGCCTTTCGATGTTGTTAATGCCGATAATATAAACATCTTTAAGAGTAAAATTAACTCAATCAATTTTGAAAAGTTTTGTCGGCGTTGATAAATCATTTATTCAATGTTGTACACTGTTACATAGTTTATTTAATTATTTATTTATTTATTTTTTTGGGCGGGCACGCTGTTAGTGTCCATCAATATTGGACCTGCGTGTCCTTTAGAACATGTATTATCTGTTCTAATAAAATAAATACAAACAAATATATATATATATATATATATATATATATATATAAATATATATATATATATATATATATATATATATATATATATATATATATATATATATATATATATATTTATTTGTCACTAAATCCAGGATGGTAAGATGATTAGTTGGATGACTCATTAGAAAGTTTTTGTCTTTTAGAGGGATAAATTGTTTCTTTATTGGTCGCTTGGCCTGTATAGTATCCCACTGTTCCTTTGCTTTCCATTTGGAGATAGTACAACCGCTTGTCCTTGGAAGATAACCATGTTTTATCCACTTTAGTATTATCAAATTTCATTAAGGGGTTCCTAGCTTCTTTGCTTTAGACATTCATCATAACATTTTAGTATTTTAGCAAGCTTTGCTTGTATAACTTGATCAGATACATGAGGAAAATTCAGTCTATTCTTCCACAATTTGATGACTTTTTTTGGAAATTTTCGTTTTTCGCTACTTTCTTCCTTGGAGAGGCATTCTGCACTTTTCTTCCAGTGAATATTTTTCCAAAAGGATCATTTTTCTGCTTTTATGAGAGTCTTTAAATTTTACCAGATTATTTGTCCAGACATCCTTGTTCTTCTGAATGCTACAACTACTAGACTTGTACAACGCCATGTGTTGCTTCTGTAATAACTATATAAATTAGATAAGCAGCTATATATAGTCCAAAATGTTCTAGAATATTCCAGAATGTTCTAAATTGTTCTAGAATGGTACAAAATATTTAAAATTGTTCTAGAATGTTATAAATTGTTCCAGAATGTTCTAAATTGTTTTAGAATGTTGTAAAGTTCTGAACAAGTTTTAAATGGTTTGCAGGGAAGCCACACTTATTATTAGAAGCAGTAAAAAGATTAAATAAATGACATAATGTAATTTGAATTGTGGGGTGACCTGTTTTTATAACCGAGAGGAATTGAACAAGTTTTCAATGCTTTCTAATTAAAGTTTGATGAACTGTTTATGACACAGGAAATTAATTTTGTTTTAAAAAAGTCAAAAAGTCGTAACCCTAATATATATATATATATATATATATATATATATATATATATATATATATATATATATATATATATATATATATATATATTTATATATATATATATATATATATATATTATATATATATATATATATATATATATATATATATATATATATATATATATAAATGAGAAGCGAGAAGCGAGCAAGAGCATAATGTTTGGTGATAATAAAACAACAGGAGACTATTATTAATTAAGTCCATGTTGAAATCACCCATTAATGTTTTTTTTCGACTCAACTTCTCAAGTAAAGGAGTCAAATGGTTTGTGATAAATTTTTTTGGATTTAAATTTGAGTGTTGATATGTGCATTGTATAGGTGTTAATATGTGCATTGGGTGTTGACATGTGCAGTCAATTAAAGTATTGGTTTAATGAAAGTTGATAACTTTAAAATATAACTGGTTCAAGAAATTTCAAGACAGATTGTAAGATCGTCACAAACTACATATGTTAAGATTAGAGCTTAGATAAAGAAGAGCCCCATTTGTGTGTGTTTGTGCGTGTGTGTATTTATAAATATATATATATATATATATATATATATATATATATATATATATATATATATATATATATATATATATATATATATATAAATATATATATACTAGGTCTTGTGCCGACCTGAAATCTTTCAAATTTTGCAGACTGCTGTATGTATATATGTATATACATACATACATACATACATACATACATACATATTTAGTTTATATATATTTTTATATATCATATATATATATATATATATATATATATATATATATATATATATATATATATATATATATATATATATATATATGTATATATATATATAAATATTAATATATATATATATATATATATATATATAAAATTCAATATTTAAAAAGCTATTACATTTTTTATTTTAAACTTTAGTTTCATCATTATCATTCAGTGATTTGGAGTGTCATCTTAGTTCATCGGCTCTATCGCCTTTATCATCAGCCATAAAGTGTGCATGGGCTGTTTTGCATCAGACGTATGACACATACAGCGAAGAAGAGGTTTGCATTGGATTTACTGGTGGGAAAGACTGCACAGTTGTTTTACATTTAATGCTAGCATATTTAAAACAACGTTTCAATTATGAATTTCCAAAAGTAACTGGATTATATTTAAAAGGTGCTGATCCATTTCCTGAAACAGAGAAATTTATTGATGAATGTCAAAAAAACTTTAATGTAAAAATGATTGTGATTGATAGCTGTATTAAAGATGGTTTACTAAAACTTAAAAAGACCCATCCGTTCATAAAATCTATTGTAATGGGAACACGCCGTCACGATCCTTACTCACTATCATTACGCCCCTTTTCTCTAACAGACTCCGACTGGCCACAATACATGCGTATTATGCCAATATTAGATTGGACTTATGGTGAGGTGTGGGAATTCCTTAATATATTTCAACTTCCATATTGTACACTTTATGATGAAGGATATACATCAATCGGATACACAATTAACACTCATAAAAATCCTTATTTACAGTTATCAAATGGCAAATATTTGCCAGCATATAATTTAGAAAATGTAACTTCTGAACGTGTTGGTAGAAAAAACTAGTAGTTTATTTTTTACTGAAGGTTTGTATGTTTAAAATATAACATTTGTTTATTAACTATATTTCTGTTAGAATTATTAAATTATTCGATGTATTCTGGTTTTTATGGAGATTGTTTTAATATTATGGAGATTGTTCTAATATTACTACTAATAATAAATCTAAGAATATTTAAGTAGATAATTTAATGTAGTAAAATTATGTACTTATGATATAAAATATTAAAATTTCTAATTTATTTTGAAAACATAATCTTATTAAAGCTTTTTTCAAAGCATAATTTGTTTAAAATTTGTTTAAAAATATGTGTTAATATTTAATTATTAAAGTTAAAAGATTTTAAACAAATTATGTTTTGAAAAAAGCTTTAAAAATATTATGTTTTCAAAATAAATTAAAAATTATTAGTGATGACAGTTAATTTTTAAATAAATCTAATTGACTAGAAAGTTGAAATGAGAGGTGGTATAGTTAAAAATATCTTTTAACAGTACTAAAAAAAACTTTTTATTCTTCAATACATTTTGTCTCCTTTTTAAAACTCGTAGCTCAACTTCGCCTCATATGTATTCGCAGAGTATGAAAAAGTTATTTTTTCAAACTTTATTTTTAACTTTCAACAGTAAATTAGATCATGTATAACAAATTTGATCGAAAAAAATGATTTGTATCGAAAAATGACTGACCGAAAACTCATTTTAATGATTAAGATCAAAAATGTGATTTTTAGATTAATATCGAAAAGTTTTTATATTGAAATTCACAAATGTGGAACAATATTGAAAACAATAAAAACGGAAGAAGATCGAAAACTCATTTTAATGAATAATAACATCAAAAATGTTATTTTCCGATTAATGTCAAAAACAATAAAGACGGAATGAGATGAAAAACTTAAAAAATAACATCGAAAATATGATTTTCTAATCATACTATTTTATATAAAAAAAATTGTACGAAAAGAAAATCTTAAGAAACTTTTAATACTAAGTCACTTTTCAATAAGAAACCTATTTAATAGTTCGATGAATATTTCGTAACTTTTCACCTAAATATTACATCAACTTTACACTAAGTTAGCATTTAAATTAAATTGTTCATTTAAACAGCAGTTTAAATGAACAATTTTTTTTTTGTTTAAGTTGATTAAAGTGCCCCAAAAAGTCCTTACGGTCTTATCACAGAGCACCGCGGAAGAGCATGGGAAGTTCACGCCTCTTTCCCAACCGATGGCCCAGAGGTGGGGTTTGAACCACGGATCTTACGTTTTTGAGGCGAGTGCGCTACCACGGCTGCTTTTTTTTGCTTGCACAATAAACAGTTTAATTTGCACGTGCAATAAAATTCCGTTTGGTTTAAAACTTGAAATTTAAGAAACTTTTAAGAAACTCAATATTCCAAAATGTCGTTAGAGAACTTATTAAGAAATTAAAATGAAACTGAAGGAGAAAGAAAAAATTCAAAGGTTTTTTGGTCAAGTAATTTTGGATACGCTAAAGATAAACTTTATAAAGACAAACTGCATCTTAAGCGTCATTTTTTTACAAAAATGAACTGCAAAGGCAGAGCTTTTATTCATAAAGATAAACTTTAGGTTACAACTGGTCACAGATGCAGTTCGAGAGAAACAGACTGAAGTGTTGCTTGGTTAAAGTACCATGAAGAAAAAAGCTGAAGTAACATCTGAAGATCTGTGCTCATTTTTTCAAAACACTGTGAGGGAGTTTCTAGCAGTTGTTTCTGAACCTGTTAGTTTTCCTCAAATTATCCCAAGTCTTTAGAAAAGAAAAAGGCTAAATGAGCCCTCAAACCCAAAATCACTAAAAGAAGCTTAGAGCGCAATATGTTAAATCAATTTTTAACTATTTTTAAAATATTCTCTCCTTATATTATTACTTAATATTTTTATTTTATTAGCACTATCATTCCAAAACACTTGTTGACGCTTGATCATCTAATGCGTTTAGTTCTAGACGATTGGCTTTGGTATTGAATCGCCGTGGTGTTTATTTTTTATATTTAAATATCTTTTTCACAAGGTGTGAAAAATTTACAAACATAATTTGTTAATGTATTGTTCATCTGTTAACATATTTTTACCAATTTTGAACTTTTTGCTGTATAACCTGTGATATGTAACATAACTTCTCTACTACTTCTTACTGATAAATCTTTAAAGAGGATAACTAAAGTCAAAAATTTATTGAGTTTATATATTAAATTGTTAATTTATTTGATATCGCCATTTTTTCAATAAAATTATAATTTTAGTAACTCACGACAAATCTTTCGACTTAGATATGGTCATATGACCAATAAATATGGTCACACGACCAATCTTTTGAGTAACCAAAAAGTAATGCTATTTATCTACTGATGCTAACTGAACTTACCGACACAATTATAATCGTAACACAAAAGACCTTTGAATAAGAAAAAAAAATTGAGCAGACAGATTTGTATTAGATTTTTATCCACAATGTCATAGCTAATTAGAGTTAAGGTTTTAATCATTTTGTTTAAATATTCCTGGATTTAACACTTTATTTGTAAGTTATGAGGTTTTATATAAGTCTGCTATTAAAATACTTGCCTGTTTAACTGTAAAATAATCTTTGAACATAGTAAACTCAAATGGGAGAAGTCTTGATAGTTTATCGCTTATCGTATTTTAAAGTAAATTCACAAATCCATAAAATAAACTTTTTTAAAGCTGTTTTTATCTTCTGATGGCATTCTATTAAATCTTTCAAAATTACTTGCATGATTGCACACAAAGTTTGCAGACCAAAAGCACTGTTTAAAAAGTAAACACAGTTTTAATGGTTTCATTTCTCAATCATTTACTATAAATTTTTATAACTGATGCAGTTTTTATTATGTACAGAATTATTTACTAAATGTATTATTTACTAAATGTTCTTAACAATTTTTGAAAAGTTCAGACTTTTATGATTAGTTTTTTTTAGTTTAAAGTTCAGAGTATTCTGTATATTTCTATAAATACATTTCATCAAATATTAGGCAGATATCGTGCAACATTTTTGGCCAATTTGAATTATAATTTTGCATATTCTATTTCGTCAAAATTACCAGAAAGTGTTTTTAATAAAAAAAGCTATGGAAAGTCTTTCGAAATAATTTTTAATTGTGATATAACGTAGGCTTTGAATGATTGCATGGAAGTATAACACTAAAATAATGCATATCTATTAGTATTTTCTGATATCTTCTTTTTTTATTTTTTTGAATTATTGATGAATAATTGCCTAAATTTTTAGATCCTATTGCGCAAAACTCAAAACGAGGATGCGCTTTCTAACTATTGTATTTAGAATTTCTTCTTTTAGTCCGAACAGAGTTTAAGAAATAAAGAGGGAGTATTTCAATTTCATTTCCATGTACCAAATAGGTATAAAAGTGTTTGTTTTATATAAAATTGTTATATATATAATACAAATATAATTTACATGTGAACTTACATATATTTATTAATTCAGACGGATCTAATAAATTATGCTGATCTAATGATCTACTATATTAGTAGGTTATTAAGTCCGCCTAAATTATTGCATCCCATTGCGTTAAACTCAAAACCGGATCTAATAATCTACGACACAACTATTATAAAATATTTTCATATAAGCTCATCTTGTAAAATAAAATATGGTAATTATTTTTTAACATTTCGTAGCTACAATTAATTTAAAAATTGTGTGCACAATTTTTTATTTATTAATAATGTTAAACTTTCTGGAACAGAATGATCAGATGACTACTTGTAATAGTAATTTTTCTATGACACTTCGAGGTAGAGGAGGTATTGTTTATAATCTTTTATTAAAAAAGATCTTTAGCATGCTCTTCTTGTTTTATTAATCAAGACCTTTTAATTAGTTCTTATTGTTTTATTAAGCAGAATCTTTTAACCTGCTCTCCTTGTTTTAAAGTATTTTTTCTTGACATTTTTTGGCACATATAACAGATGACTTAGTTGGCATATAATTTTGCATATTTACAAATAACTTTATTCTTTAAACTTTTTATTGTTCGTAAGTCTTTATTGATTTTGAAAAAAAAAATTGTAACTTTTTATGGTTTGTTGACATTAATGTCAACAAACCATAAAAAGTTACAATTTTTTAAAATCAATGCATCTTGTTTTAAATCGTTTTATAAATAGCCAACAACACAACACTCAATATTTTTTTGTTCTACTAATTATACTTTCAGGTAATATTGTATAAATTATACAATTATACAAAAATACAGTATAATTACTATATTTTATTTCAAAACTACAAAAAACAGGCATTCGATATATTCTGCTTTTGGAATTTTCGAACCTATTCCTTTTTTTACATTTTTGATATTATTCCAGTAAGTCCTTTTTCAATTTTATTCCTTTTTTCGCTACTTCGATATTATTTCGGTAAATCCTTTTTAAATATTATTCTCTTTTGAGTTATTTTGAGATTATTTTGCTTTTAGGACTTTCGATACTTTTCCTTTTTTAACAATTTCGATGTATTCTCTTTTTCAATATTATTCCAAAAAGTCTCTTTTCGATATTATTCTTTTTTTCACAATATCGAGATAATTTTGTTTTTCGGATTTTCGATACGATTTCTTTTATTACAATTTCGATACTATTCTCTATTTCGATGTTATACAGAAAAATCACTTTTCAAGATTTATCAGTTTCGATGTTTTCGATACTGTTACTACTACCCCAAGTCTAGATCAGAACAAATTATGTTAAAATTCATTATACTATTCATTATTCAATTTTAGAGATGTTAAAATTTGAAAAAAAAAAAGAATCAAATATTTAACTTAAAATCGCAATATTACTGTTTTTTAACTACACCTTTGAAACGCTATAAAATAAAAACGGTTTAATTAATAAAAATTTAGGTACTGATCTAGATATATTATGTAGTTTGTGAATTGTTTAAAAGAAAAAAAAATCAATTTCTATGGTAAATATTTCACTGCCTAGAACCGCTCTGAGGGCTGAGTAATTAAAATTAAAATTAAACGACAATTTTGATATTCTATTTAGAAAAAATATTTTTTTACTAACGACAAGTTAAAATGCATTATTACTTATACCTACATATTTACACAAAGTAAGGGGTCGTCCATAGTTTACTTGCGTTTTTATTACAACCATCCATCTCCTTCGCATTTTGCTA